CAAAAGTAGAGTTGCAACCATGTTGGGGGACATGCAGTTGCGGTTAGGTGCGACACTTGCAGTTGTGAGGCTGTTGTCGGCTTGCAACTGGCCCGCCCCCTCTCCGGGCGCCCCCTCCGACAAAACAAAAGTCGAGTTGCAACCATGTTGGGGGACATGCAGTTGCAGGGCTGTTGTCCGGCTTGCAACTGGCCCGCCCCCTCTCCCGGCGCCCCCTCCGACAGAACAAAAAAGTCCAGTTGCGGCCGTGTTAGAAGACATGCAACAGCCGGGTGTAAGAAAAAATATATGCTAATATTCTTTTACGCATAAGCAAGGAAATAAATGAAAATGCTGGTAACAAAAGTCATGGTTTAAAAACCCGCTAACAACCAACATACCCACTAACATTTATGTCTACATGGTTCAAAAATCCCCACTCGTCGAAGAAAAAACATTTCCTACATTATACAAGCATAAATAAACAAAATGCATACATAAATAAATCCACAAATATAGATCTGGCATAAAAGAGGGGAAAACAGAAGAAAAAAATGCAACTGAAGAACCCCAAGGGGCAAAGACCCCTCCCCTGAGACGAGTACTCCGCGGTAGATATGGTGTGTACACGGCAATTGAAAAGTCCAACAACAACAATGAAAAACGCCTCTCACAACCAGCACATCGCGCATCAATACCAAACACGAGAAAGAAAAGAAGCGGGTGCTAAAGAGGTCGGGGTAACACTAGACAAGCAGTGTGGCGTGAATCTTACGGAAATAGTGATCTAACGACTGTATATGTGTACCGGGACTTCGGTTAAACTCAATCGACTGGATTTTAGCAATCCATCTAATAAAATTTCAACTATTGCAGCCAACATTTACTTACAAAGTATCTGATGAATGTGCAACTGAAAATGATTAACAAAAAAATTGGTGGGCAATTTTGTTGCTAAAATAGGGCAGCTAGAAAGTTGGAAAATATGCTAAAATCAAATAAAATAAAACACAACATTAATAAGCAAGGACAAAATAAAAAAATGAAAAATTAAATTAAATAAACAAGAATAAGAAGGAAACAAAAAATATGAAACGGGATAAGCAAATAATAAATAAAAGAAAAAGGTAAAGGAAAAAGAAAAAGGAAAAAGAAAAAATATTTTGGGAAAAAGAGAAGGCACCGTGACTTCCTTTCCTACAGGCAAAACTCACTTGTGTAGGGCGAGAAAAAAGAAACAAAACAAAGTACTTTTTTGTAGGCTGACAAAAATAATTAAAAAAACACTCTCGGGAAAGTTGGGCTGCACAGCAAAGGAACAAGGCCCAGAAGAAAAATAAAAGAAGGGCTCTCTCATCTCCACCGCCCGTGCAGTGACAAAGAAAAGAGCTCGTACGAGCCAACATACACGTACACGTACACCAGCCTGTGCCATCGACTGAGACTTCGCTAAATCTCGGTCGACTGAGATTTAGCGTAGCCGATCTTTCAATACTAACTGAAGAAATCGGGTCATACCACAGAACAAATCGAAAAACAAGGTCGAAGTCACCGCATCAAAAGGCAGCCAATTAATTATATCGGGTCATATCACAGAACAAATCAAAAAACGAGGTCAAAGTCACTGCATCAAAAGGCGATGCAGCCAATTGCTTCTCTTAATTGACACTCCAACCACCAAGATCAAAAGAGAGCCAACAAGGATACCCCTTCTTCCAGTACCCCCCCCCCC